CCATTGCTGCACATTGGCGGTCAAAGACCAGTCTTGGGTCGGTCTCGAAAATGTACGGTCTTTTTCCAAACTGGTACCTGTTGATCTTTTTCCTATCCGCTCTTTTTTCGGACCGGTCTTTTTCAATCCAGCCTTTTTTCGGACCTAGTCTTTTCTCAGTCTGGTTTCGCAGTCTTTTCCTATGCCTTTTTCGGTTTCGATATTTTTCGATTATTTTGTTTTGGTTTCTAGTTTTTCTCCATTAACAAATATATGATTAACACCAAAATGATAAATAAAAATTAATTAAATATGATGATCTAAGTTTAATAAAAGAAAAAAGGAATAAACTTAAATAACTTGTGATTAAAATTTGTATAATTAACAAAAACTTATACATTTATAAAGTTTGTTACCGGTCTTTTTTTTCCAAACCGGTCTCGGCTCGGTCCCGTCTTTTTTGGGACATGCCTCGTAACAGTTCGGTCTTTTTCGGATCAGTATGGGACGGTCTCGAGTTGGTCTTTTTTGGTTCGGCCTTTTTTAGGACCTGTCTTTTTTCAATCCGAGTTCGTTTAAGACCGGTTTGGTCTTGGTTTTTTTTCGAGTCTGGTTCGAGATCGGTCTCTTTATTCAGGTCTAGGCCTAACCCAGCATACAAATGTGTCTAGCTCGTCATACAATGGGCTTAGCCTTACACACCATGCAAGATTCACAAAGTCAACTAGCATAACGAATCCTTGTGGGCCGACATAAGTGTCTTCGACCCACGGGTATAGTAAGACGAATCACCTCCGTCCATGATAACCGAACACATGTGCACTGCACCCGAGCTCCTTACACTGAACACACCTAATTCATCCCTAGTTAATAATTAAGATACTTTCACAAATTCCAAGGCCCAATACATATTCTATATTCCTAAAGGTTAAATGACCATTTTAACCTTCCCCAAAAATTATTGACTTATCTCTACACAAAAAATGAAAAAACAACTTCTTAATCAATTTCCCCTCTAAACCATGCCCATACCCATTAACTTGCACTATTCCAAAAAAATTAGTCCTTGATTAACTAGTTTTCAATTAAGTTGTTAAGTTCTTAAGTTGTAAAGTTGTTAAGCATTTTCCAATTATGACAGATGGACTTTTAGGTCACATGATTTGGTAGCAAGGTTCTCTGTTATGCCAACTTACAAGTATAAAAGAGATAAAATTGTTCCTCCAATCTACATCATTGTAAGTTCATATTTCTTTAAACATACTTTCCTTGTATTTAACCGTTAACAAATAATTGACTCAAATATGTTTTTTCGGGAACTAGATGTAGCATCTTTTAAAGATTATGGTAACCATGAATGGCATATTGGAGTGGTGAATGGTTTTTAAATAATTAAATCTTTGTACACCCATATGTTTGCGTTAATTTCTATCTTTATTATGGATGATGGATCATTGTATTAGTAGCCAACTTCTAATGATAACAAAATGATGAATGAGTCGATTATTGTAATGATTCAACAACATGATGAAGCAGTCGATAATTAGAAGGAAATATGTTTTTAGTTTCGTGCTAGTTAAATGAAAGATATACTTGTTTATTATAACATCCTACTTTCATTTGGTCTTAGCTATAACGTTGTACTTTCGAATATGTTCCTAATTGCGACTATAATAAAAAATAAATGTACATTTCTATATTTGTATATTTTGTGATAATTGATTATGGTGTGTTGAAATAGGAAAAATATGATTCAAAACTCAAATTGAAGAACACGTGTTGGTGTTTATCGATTGGACTTACCTTGTAATTTGTCAAGTAAACCACCAAATAGTTCTCAAATTTATGTATGTAAGCATTTAGTTAAACATTTGTAGTTGACACTTTTAATGTGTATTATTACACATTTAATATATTATTAGACAATGTTTATTAGTAATATGTATTTGCATTTGATAGTTTTTTTTAGGTTTATTAGGTTTATTGTAATGTTATTTGTATTATGGTTGAATTTCAATATTATTATTAGTTTAATGTAATGAGTATTTTCAATATTTAGGATAGAAAAAGTTGGATAATGTATAACTTTTTGCTGTTTTTTTTTTAATAATTACCTATGAAAAATCCGTAAGTAATATGAGTCGTAGGAAATCCATAGTAGGTAATAATGCTAATGTTAGTCAAAGTAGGTCCCATCGATAATATGTACGAAATTTGTACCCGTATATTTTCGTAGCTATTTCGTAGGAAAATAATCAATTTTAGTCAAATTTGACTCCTATCGGTAATTCGTATGTATTACGTAGCTATTTTATCTACGGAAAAAACCATAGGTATTCTGTAGATAGTGCGTAAGAATTCCGTAGGTATAAATTCTCCACATGTATTTATGCTATAGACTTTTTTCCATAGCAATTTTATAGGTATTGCCTTAGACCTACGTAAGTATTGCCTTATATCTATGTACGGAATACCTACGGATTGTGTCGTAAGTATTGCCCTTGTTTTCAATCACTATATGTAGCCGATGTGAAGATATCGGCTCATGAGGAAGTACATTATAGACCATAACAAGGATTATCTCTGTACACGTACCCATTTTGTCGATGAATATATTGGCAAGATATGTGGCTGCACCATCAATTTGTAAACCTAATTTTAGTCAGGTAAAGTAGTTTATTTATTTTTCATTTAATTTTAATAATAATAATAATAATAATAATAATAATAATAATAATACATGACTTACTATAAAAAGTAGGAGAAATTTGATGTTTTTCACTAATTCGTATTTTTATTTATTTATTTATTTATTTTTATTTTTTTGTAAATTTGTTGATTTTCTCTCTCTTTATTTTCAAGAATGCACCATCGTTTTACTAAATATATTTTAAATAAATTTTATCTTGTCAATAATTACAAATAAAAAAAGACAAAGAAAAAAGGAATTGTTGTCAAAGTGTTGTGGCTGATTTTTTATGTTTGTATCCATGAAGCAACGTATAACGAGTGGAGTAACTGTGATACCGCAATTCAAGAAACCATAATTCTACCCCTAGTGACATCTGCTTTTCTATATATAAGTATGTGTAGAAAAGTTTGACTCGACTCTTTCTACTTATAGAAATAATTTTTGAGTATTGAACCCTAAGTCGATCGTGGCAGAACAAGAATACATGCTGCCGCAAAATTTGAATGCAACACAAGTAATGTTGAAATTTCTTGATTTTTGCTGATTTTTAACCCTTCAAGATTTGTCTGTCTTCAAAACATGTCATCTTGAACCGCCCTCATTTCTTATAAATACCCGTCACCACAATAACGTTCTCTTCATCCAAATCGTGAGTATTAAGTTTGTCAAGTCATTATTCAGAAATGATGAGAAAGTCGGTTATCTTTTCCATATTTGTTCTTATCCTCTTCGTTCTAGCTATCTCAGGTAATCAAATCCTAATCTACTATTTGTGATCAAGCATTTAACGTTGTAGTATATAAGCTTATTCTTTAGATTTTAGATAGCCGTATCCTATAAAGAAAAGTAATCTATTTTATTTTCTCTTCACTAAGTTATTGTTTTTCATGTTTTTATTTGTCCTTATGAGTTATAAACTGTCCAGATATCACGAGTGTGAGAGGAGAACTATGCGAGAAACCTAGCAAGACATGGTCGGGTAACTGTGGCAACACCGGACACTGTGATGGCCAGTGCAAATCTTGGGAGGGTGGAGCCCATGGAGCATGTCACGTGCGTGGAGGGAAACACATGTGCTTCTGCTACTTCAATTGTCCTAAAGCTGAAAAGCTTGCCCAAGACAAACTCAAAGCCAAAGAGCTCGCCCAAGACAAACTCAAGGCTAAAAAGCTAGACCGGCCATGAGGACAAGAAAGTAGTACCAAATGTGGAGCATCCATGTAACGATGGCAATTAGTTTCTTTAAATAGAAAGTTTCCTTATGATACCAATAATAATATAAAGTGCTTACTTAACATCACATTATCAACTTCTTTAAAGAAGCATGACGTGATGAAGGGTGCACTTTTTTGGTAGTGACATGTGTAATAAGGTGATAACTTATGCTTCCCATGCATAACAAGTTTCACTTATGCTATTAGTATAGGTCTATTTTGAAATTTCACAAGGTCGATTATACAATAATAATATTTACTTTACGAAATCAAACAACTGGTTATTTATATTTTAAATAATTATTATAAAAATATAATTTGATGAGTTGTGTGATATTGATCAAGAGGGTATCAAACAAAAACAAAACATGTAATAGTATGTAGAGGTGTTGAATTGAATGTATTCGTTTAAAAGGATTTGAAATCAAACAGATTTCGGTTTTTAGAATATAAATCTAAATAATTCAAACAAGTTATTATCCGAACCGAGTCAACCTAATTATAATTATGTTGAATCGTTTTACGTGAGACTGACATTCCAAAAACTAAATAACTTCAATATAAACAAGTTTGATTTCAACTGAATGTACTTGATTGTTGCTTGTTTTTTCGATATTAAAACATTTGTAGTCTGCGGACCACAATTGCAACCTTCTACATCAACCGAAAAGGTGGATAAAACGTTTGCAAACTACGATAAAAAGTTTGTTTGTTTCTAAACTTTTGCAATCTATTGAAATAATATGAAATTAAACATAAAATAGTTAAAAGATATTCTAAATCAAAATTTTATTTAATTTTAATTATATGCAAAAAGATAAAGATATATATATATATATATATATATATATATATATATATATATATATATATATATATATATATATATATATATATATATATATATATATATATGAAAAACTATCTTTAGGAATAGTGAACTTCTTTGTTTTTTGGTAGAATTCGTCCTCCATCTATGTCTGCTTTTACAATCCTGCAGAGCTGTTTTCTTTAGGGGTATATTTTACCATTTTCTATATTGTGTGTCCACGCCTTCACTTCTCTTTCTTTTACCGTTTTTCTCCACCAATAAGGACCTGATTTCTGTTTCAACCATGGTAACCGCCCCACCGTTCATCTACGTTTATTATCTAATCTATTTCTTTCCTTCTTCGTTTCTCATCAGGAGGATATTCATATTTCTGCTACCGATGGTGTCACCTACCACCGTTGGCCTCGAGTGCTTATCTCTCCTTTTGCGACCTCCTTGCACCTCCTCAGTTCCACTGGCCCGATTGTGGACTTTTCATACGTTGTTTTCCTCGCCTCTTCTGATAGAAGGTCACATCGAAAGTCACATGAAGATGGCATCGACAACTGCTTCGGTTCCCATTTCCCTCTCATCTTCTTCTCTATTCGATTATGGTTCTACAGATTTCATTCAACTGACCGGTTTTGTTCCAATCGATTAGCGCTTCATCGGTTTTGCGTCGACTGATGCTTCGTCATTTACATCCAATCGAAGAGATGTTGTCTCCGGTCTTCGATCTGTAGGGAAAAAAATAGGTTACATCAATAATTACAAATCAGAAACATGCAACTCTTTTATGATGCAGCTTTCTTGTAGTATTTACATACGAATTATGGTCAAGTTTTTACTTTTTTCTGTTTTGTTCTCTCTTTTTGTGCAAGGAATATGATCGATACAACCAAGATAAGTTGTCTCAGAATTAGATTTTTTGCCAACCTAATATCACATTTTTCTCCAATTTGTTTGGTTTCTTGCACGTAAGGTGTTTGATGTATTGTCTCTTTGTGTATTTTCGATTTTTTTGCTACTACTTTATGTTTGCATTAGGGTGTAATTTGGCTAGGATTGGAATGAACAGCTGAAAGGGAATGGTTCAACAACTTGATATTCGTTCCTTTAATCTGTTGATTTTGAGGTTTGTCAATAAATTCTTATATAATTCTGTTTTGAAAATAAAATTATGGAAGTAAATATTGAATTAACTTCCTAATTATAATTCGATGGATTTCGGTTTTTAAAATATGTAGAGGTGTTCAATTGAATGTCTTGGTGTAAAAGGATTTGAAATAAAATAGATTTCAGTTTTAAAATATATATCAAAATAATCAAACAAGTTATTATCATAATCGAGTCAACCTAATTATAATTCGGTTGAATCGTTTTTCATGAGACAAACATTCCAAAAACTAAATAACTTCAATATAAATAAGTTTGATTTCAACTGATGATGCCTGTTTTTTCGATACTAAAACGTTTGTAGTAGGCTGGCTACAACTCCAACCTTCTAAAGATGTGGACCAAATGTTTGCAAAGTACAATAAAAAGTTTGTTTTTTTTTTTTTAACTTTTGCAGTCTATGAAATAAATTGAAATTAATCATAAAATAGTTAAAAGATATTCTAAATAAAAGTTTTAATTAATTTTAATCATATGCAAACATAAAGATCATCATGATGATACTATTTTAAAGATATTACAGTCTCACTTAAGTTTAAATACTAAACCTCGTGAAACTACATTGTTTTACTATATAAAGATTATGGTTAGGGGATTCACGATTAAAAATTGAAGATGTAGATTCAAGATTGACGCAATAGTTTTGACCAGTAAGCAAGAATATTGATTATCTTAGATCTTTATAATAGTGAAAAAAAGTAATGTGCACTGGGGTGAATTAATAAACGATAATTGAAAAAAAAATAGAGATGGAAAAACGATAATGTAGGAAAGAAATGTTATCAATGATGATATATTTACCAAGTGAAAACCAAATCAAGTATATTTACTAAGTTAAAACAACATATTTTATATGTTTAGTGTCGAAGCTTAGGTGAGGCTGTAATGTATATTCCCTATCCCTTATATATATATATATAT